CAACACCAACGTGTTAACATGGCGGTCTTTATTTCAAACAGCCACCTGCGTATCTTGAAACAACAACAGATAGCTCATTTTTCTGAGAACAAAAAATAACAGACACTTTTCTGTTTGTGGCGTGATACAGAATTTAGGCCAAGGTGGTGTAGGTTTTTAAAAGTAAAATGATCCGTCACGTGATCCGGTGCCCGTATCTTGACAGCAGTATTAAGGAGACGATAATCCACATAAATAGGTTATCGACGATATATAGCGTCTGTCTACATTATCAGCCTATATGTCAGTATTTTCTACTTGATCGGGCACCTGTCGAGTTGTAGACTAACAGCAACGTAAGAAGAGGATGGCGGACACGCCGGAAGGTAACGCTAAGAAGTGGCCTATTCATTCTTAACACTCAATGAATTTCATGTTGACAAGGTTTTTTGATAATATGAGAATTTATGAGACAGTGTTTTGATTTTTTCTTACATTTTGTAAACACATCGTACGCTGCCATTAGGCAACTGCAGAGAAAAGAGAGAGCGAGAAAGACCTGGGTGGAAGGGGCAAATAATCTAAACCTAACTGTTTTGTTCTAAACAGGACACAAGTACGAAGAAGGTACATCTTCCTGGGTTACAGAGAGTATAAAAAAGGAGTTTGATGATAATGGCTTCATTATCGTGCGGTACGTTGCTCTACTTGTGCATGCGTACAATGTATGCACGAGTGATTATAGGTCCCTATATTAGCCCATTATAGGTCCCTATGCTGATTATAGGTCCATATTATTAAAATCTAGGTACTTTTTTGTGGCACAGGTTATATCTGACATTTACAAACATCAGGCATGTTCTTTTCAAGATGTAACAGAAATCAAGAAATCTTTAAAAATTAACAAAACTGAACTTTGAACATTAATGATTTTGTCGTTTATATAACAAACCTTAAAGATAATTGACATAACAACTGCCATGACAAAGTTAGGAAACACCTGTTGATTTTGAAAATCTCTTTAGAAATCTTCTGAGTTCAGAAGAATTAAAGCGCGTGAAGGATGCTCTGGAGACTGACGGTCGCATATTGCAGTACCGCCTTGGTCGTGATGATGGGAAGGGACGGAGGGTAAATATGACGTTATGGAATCACCCCGGGGAGGACATAACAGGAATGGTGGCCAGGTCTGAAAAAGTCGTCAACGCCATGGAAACGGTAACTTGAATTGAAATTTATTGGGCTCTCGTTTCAACTAGTTAAAGTTTAAGTTAAACTGAAATGCAGGCCTCTGTCTCTCCCTGTCTCTCTATCTCAAAGACCCTGCTCACTATATGATTACTCATATCAAAATCAGATGGTCCATATGGTAGTGCTTGTAATATTAACAGACTAAATAAGAAAAACAAAAAATTCCTTTGTCTATAGTCTTAGGATCGTAAGGTAGTTACAATGCTTCAATCCTTTTAATGATCAAAAATCCGTTTTACTTTAGTTTCTGGATGGTGAAGTGTACCATTATCACACCAAGCTGATTCAGAAGGACGCTCACACTGGTGGATCGTTTGTCTGGCATCAGGATTATGGGTTGGGTATTTTAAATATGACGTTCCAAGATGAAAAATAATTTCAATTTTATTAGTTCATTTTAGCGCCAGAACTTCTATCCAACATTCCCATTACCTAATTGTAAGTTTTCTTCGTTTATACATGTCGCTAAAGGGGTACTAGAGCGCGCATGCAATTGGCTTTAAACCAAAATGCCCTAAGAAAAGAAAACGACGAACTTTTCGAATGTACTTCTTTGTTTATAATTATAACTTTTGTCACAAACTGCCTTGTTCAGTTCTTATTGCTCCAATCTACATTATGTCTGGATCAAGAAGTGTCTCTCAGCAGGATATTCTCTCTACCTTAGTTATTGGTACCACAATGGCTGCCTGTTCCCAGACATGGCAACTGTCTTCATAGCAATAGATCGTGCTGACAGGAATAACGGATGCCTTCAGGTAAGACCACTTACCATCCTCGAACACGTACTTACAAATGGTGGGCTTAATACAGTTTTTTTGTCCTATTTTAGAAAAAAAACGTTTTGGTCGGATTTAAAAAGTTCCCATAACTTACTTGCGCTGTTGCATTTTAGATTCTGCCTGGATCGCATAAGCTGGGCCGCATTGATCACGTGCCAATCGGAAACCAAACCGGTGCCGATCTTGAACGTGTGAAACAAGCCTCCAAGGTTTTGCCCTTGACCTACGTAGAATTAAACCCAGGAGACGCAGCATTCTTTCACTGTAACCTTCTTCACACCAGTGACCAGAACAACAGTGATAGACGCCGCTGGGGACTTGTTTGTTGCTACAACAGCGCAAGAAACAACCCCGTGATTGCGCACCATCACCCGCAATATACGCCACTGAAGAAGGTCTGTGTACATCCACATTCCTTTTACCTTTAGTTTATGATATGCATGTAAAGCCAAATACACACCCATTGCACGTGTAACATGAGCGATGCACTTTGTGCAACCATACATTTACCAAACACATCAGGCCCGTAGCCAGGGGGGGTTCAGGGGGTTCGAAAGAACCGCCCTTTTTGCTAGGAAAAGGTCCACTCTGGGTAAAATTTGATCTAGGTACATGGAGTTTTTATGGAAAAGGTCCACTTTTTCAGAAAAAGAACCCCCCTTTTGAAATTGCTGGCTACGGGCCTGCACATTTACCACACTTTGTACAACCATACATTTATCCAAGCACGTCATACAAGAAAATTAGAGAAAGCATACATGTATCTGCAATTTGAAAGCTGGATTTAATCCGTATCTGCACTGGGTTCTTTTGAATACTGGACTTAATTGACATATTATTAATTTCTCCACGGTCAATTCAAGTTAACATTTTTTACAAACACACTTTACATCATCTTTGCAGGTTCCAAACAAGGCAATTCTTGAATGCCCCTTGATGGCTGACAAATCAGAGGAAACGAAATGGTTTTATAAAGAAACCGATTCATCTCCCCAAGGATTGGCCGTGAAGGCAAGCAGATGAGTCAAAGCATTCTGATGGACACCTTTGCAGTTTAATGACAGTCAAATCAATCCATGGTACCACCATACATCCTCACAATTACACACCCAACCTCAGTAACCTTGGTAGACACAATTAACTGCCAACTGATAGCTCACTCCTCTCAAGATACACAGAGCATGGATAAACTTATCCTACCTCCCCCTTATTTGTATAAAGGAGTAGGGTTGATTAACCTGCTCACAGAATTTTTTGCAGTTTCGGACCTCCTTTTAATTGCAAATGCCACTTTGCTTGCCAACTCATAATATAAAACAGATTGTGCTTATCTCTTCAAAAATATTAATAAAACATGAGTAACGCTACCCCGGTGTCTATGTTGATTGCTTTCGCGAACAGATAAGATACTTTACAATAAGAATCCTTAAGATACTAGGACAAGATTGACAAAAATTAAACGTAGTCTGTGTATTTGCATATACGATATGCCCTTGCTTTAAGATTTAACTGAAGATCTGCATGGCGGCCAGATGTATTGACTGTTCTATTTTCTTATCAAATTGGTCGCAAGGATTCTTTATCCCCGTCAGGAGAAAGTATGCTAGGTATAGGTTTGGCTCTGACTATGTTATTTCCAGGATTATGTCCTGCTGTAGTTGTTGAAGTAAAAAGTGTAGGCCCTATAAGTGTAGGCCCTAACGTTTTGATATGGCGGTATGTGCTAAGAACAGCGACCATGAACATGTTTTGCTCCATGTGGCAATGGCGAGGTTCTTTAAAACAGCCGATACGTTATCAAGGCCAGGACCCAAGGTCTTAACCCCTATACATGACCCAAATAAATTTTCAGCTGCAATTTCTACGGGCATGGCAGCTTTTTTTATACCGCAAAGAAAATACACCTGTGGTTGGGGACGGCTGGCTAGTGGCGACTTAATTAAGGCCCTGCCACGCTATATAGTGTATAGCACTCACGTGTGAGGTCGGGGTCGGAGGGTCGGCTTTGCATCCACGGACCCACCTTCAAATCAGCCTAGTTCCGCCCCTGGGATGCAGTCGGATCTGATCGATAGCAGACCTTTACGCCGTTATAGACCCGTTCCCCTGTACCGTGAGGTAGACTCTTTTTGCCCTGTTCAGATTAAAATTTATTTGTCCAGCAAGATCTACCTATCTCTGCAGCACAGTCAATGTAATCAGTTTCATATAATCAGGTTCAATGTTTGGCACACCCACTCGTAACTTATTAGGTAAAGTCGGGAAAACACATCACATAAAATAATAAAAAAAAACAAGCCATGATTTAAAGCAAGTGATTTATTACATATATATATATATATATATATATATATATCAAAAACATAAGCATATGACAACAAGCAACACTCCAAAAGGATGCTAAAAGAAAAATGTGTTATAAAAAAGTGAGATTTAATAATCATTTAAGTAAAATTTTTAGATATTAAAAAACATTGCAACAAATACACTGCCGAAATGGCAATGGGGCAGTGATCTTGGTACTGATTATGTTTCCTTTGTTAGTAAAATATGGCACGAAGTCAAATAACGGAATACTTATCAAAATGTTTTAAAAATCATATAATTCAATCTCAATCTGGAAGTTCGCTAGCACCACTTCCATATGCGAATACAACATCAAAAGCGAGTACAGACAATGAAGCTGAAACATAAATGGAACACTTATGAATCACTTTTTTTGGCTCTGATTAAAGACACTTATAAAACCAGCACCTTGTGTGTTCTACCTTCAAAAACAAATAAAAACACTTATAAAAAAACAATGCCATGAATTGCAAGGTGCCATGAATACTGGATGGAGAGGTGGCTGTAATGACTGGTAGTTCAGATGACAAAGGGTAATAATGGAACCACAGTTAACAGCCTCTGGAATACTTTTGCATCCCTGCACCATAAAGGAATCCTTCCTGTACATTTACTTTATTTTTTTTTAATTAGCACCTTGAGTCTTAATTTCTGCTCTCACTTTGCACTTGTTAAAACCACTTCATATGAAACAAGGTGTCATGAATACTGGTAAGGGTGGGAAGATGGCCATGAGGCAACAGTGTAGGATTGGTGAAACATAGTACAGACACGCTAATATAAAGTTCTCGTCTACCGGTCTTCATTGTCTTCCAGCACTGTCACCAATAAGCCTGAAGGCAGCTGTTGAAAGCATCAGATGGCACCAATGGCCAATCAGTACTATATTTTCACATAGGACTTCATGTCCATAAATTAACATCAAGTAAAATATATGAAGTCTTAAGCATATATTACTGTTTACCCTTTAAAATCAAGTGGTTACATTCACAAAGCAGGAGAGTACAACTAGGTTTAGGACTCGAGGGTTTCTTGTCTAAATCTCTGTATTTGAATGAACCACAAAGACTCTGCTTAGGCCATAGAGTATTAAAACCTTGGTAAATGATTTTCACGCCTAATATTTTATCAAATGGAAAATTGCACTGACCTCAAGAAGAAGCCTAATAACTGTGGTTTTTATGTCGAAAACTGATATATCCTTCCTCCTTAAAAAGCAACAACAAATAAATTACAAAAAGATAAATTCCATTTACAGACAATGATTATGTTTACATAGAGCTGCAGCTTGCTAACCAACTCATCAAGTTTATCTGGCCTAACTGAAACTCTACTGCTGTGAACCATCACTGGTCAAATCAATACTATCAAGGTCAGCTAGTGTGACATACTCAATGATTCTCTTTGGCAAAGGAAGCTTTTGGGCAAGCTCCTTCACTTGATATCCCAGCACCTCCCTGATTCTTGCCCTGCATAAATTCTTCAATGAGCTATGCACAAAAGCAACATCCAGTAACCAATGCAGGAGGTTACTGTTGTATTTCAGAGAGTCAGGAAGACAGGAGGTTTCCAGCCAGTACTGCAAAATACTGAGATCACAGCCAGCTAGAGCCAGCATTTTCATCACAGCCGAATGACTCCTCAGCACGGCCATTTCAAATGGGGAACAAGTGGGCGATCGGAAAGGAGAGTCCTGTCTCATGACTTCTTCAATAGGAGGTCGGACTTTGGCATCGATATTGCAGTTTGCCTGAATAAGGGCTCGGAGGGAGTGATATTTCTGTTCCTGCATCGCCACTGCCAAAGGCGTGTCAGTCAAGGCTGGTTCTTGCTGCAAATCTGGGCTGAGGCCAAGCCGGATTACGAGCTCGATGCAAGCTGTTCTGTTGGATCGAACAGCGTAGTGAAGGACAGAATCCCCACTTTTATCAAACACCACTAAATCCACACCGGCTTTGATAAGCAGCTCCATGATTTCAATGTGACCGCCCCTTGCAGCGAGCATGAGTGGGGTGCAGCCTCCATTGATGGGTCCTGAAGAAAAGGTCTGCCAGGATTCAAAAGTATCTGTTGTGATCACGCTGGGGTTGGCGCCTTCTTCCAGAAGAAGTTCCACCACCTCCAGAAAGCCCCCTTCACAAGCCCAGTGTATCGCTGTCATGTTGCAGCTCCCTGACCCATCCACATCAGCACCAGCCTAAAGAGATAGTGAATATATATATATATATATATATATATATATTCAGTATAGTTTTTTATCACTGATTTACTGTTTATATCCATATGCACTCAACTCAGTGGTCAAACTTGAAATAATATGTAGGCAGTGATATCCAGTGCATTATACACTCCCTGCTTGGCTTTAAAACTACATCTAAGAAATCGCCTTTTATTTTTCTTTCATAAAGGGTTGAGGTTAAACCTTTCACTGACTTAAAAATATGTAAGCTGAACTGGGAATTATGGGGCAAAGGAAAGATCTGCAAACACGCACATTAAGGTAATACTTTTGAAGAAAGCATTTGATTTGCAGAACAATAATGATATGAAATAATACTGCAAACCTTGTCATCATACATGTGTGTTATACTTTTTACAAACCAGATAACCTAAAAGCACTTGACAGCAGAAACACCCCCCCCCCCACACACACACAAACACACCTAACAGTACACACTCGCACACAAACACACCTACATGAACGTGCACACACACACACACGCATGCATGCATGCACACATGTGAATGCACACACCCACACACACACCTTGATGAGCACCTCCACTGTCTCCAGCCTGTTCTTCCTGGCAGCAATAATGAGGGCAGAGTCCCCGGAGACGGTGGTGGCATTGGGGTCAATCCCTGCTGATAACAACATCTGTACGCAGTCCGTCCATCCCTCTACAGCCGCGTGGTGCAGAGCATTGTAACCTGTGCTCCTCTCTACTATATCTACCTTACAGTTGGCCTGAAATAATAGTGAAATAGGTATTTTTCAACAGCAATCACTACAGGAAAATAACATCTTCTGATATTTCAATGATTACCGACTAGATGATAATGCATCTAAGCCATATGCACTCAGAGGGTATGATATATTTATTCATCTTCACTAAAAGCTATAAAATAATTATGAAACTTTCAGAAATACAGGACTGACGGATTTATTTATTCTGAAAGACATTCTTTATGAAAGCTTGAAACAAATTTATTTCTCGATTTCTAATATGACTTATGATAAGTTTGAAATGGTTTTTTTGCCATAAAATATGCAACTTTGGAAAAAAAACAGACATGCAATTATTATTGTTTATCAACGCCAGTTCCTTAATATACCACTCACATTCAGCAGTGTCTTGAGAATCTCAGGACGTCCGTTCCTCGCAGCCAACATCACAGCTGTGCGTCCATGCATGGTCTGGGCGTCCCGGTCTATCTGGGTGGTCAGCAGGAAGTCCACGCACTCCTGGTGCCCATTAGCCACCGCCCAGTGGAGCGCGCTCCCTCTCACTGGGTGCGTGGTTCGCATCACGTTACATCCCCGCGCATGGAGAATGTGCATGATGGCCAGGTGACCGTTCTGGGCAGCCAGGATGAAGGGGGTGTAACCCAGGGCCTTGGTGTCTGGTGAGGTGCCTGGTATATATACAGATAACTCAACTCAAAACTCTTATTAATACATAAAATAGCTAAAGAAGGAGTCACTTTGGCTAAAAATAGTATATAAAATACATGTAAGGATATTAATTTCTAACCTGCATCTAGCAGTACTTCCAGACATTCTACTTTCCCCTTGTCTGCAGCCATTAGTAGCGCCTTGCCTGCCTCAGCCAGATCCAGAATTCTGCTTTTCTGAATCAGTTCCTTCAACTGGTCAACATTATCCAAGGCCACTGCTGTTGCCATGCTGCAAATAAGGAGAAAAAATACCTTGTAAACGCAAATATAAACCTGGCACTTAGAAATTCATCATTTTATAATGCCTGTGTAAGTGATTTTTTATAGTATTCAGGTAAAGTTTCTTTACTTATGCATAAATGTCTGTAACTCTGTAAACTAAGCTCTGTAAACTAAATTAATTCCAAAATCTTGAAGAGTTCAAAAACTTATTTGTTTGGTGTTTGTAAAATTCAAAAAGCTGTTGAATGGCCCATAGTTTTTTTGCATATAAAAAAAGCTAGTAAAATAAATTTTAGAAAATGGAATTTCTGTTTCCTTTAGTAAAATTTCATAGATTTGTGGTATGGTAGGATAGCTGAGTCGTGAAATACAAAATGATGGGGAAGGGGAATGGGGGGGGGGGGGGGGGGGNTTTTAGTGGTAAAATACAATAGAATATATTTCCATGCGTTGTTTACAATGTATTTCATGCGGAATTTTGAATCTCAAAGGAAGAGTTATTATTGCTTTAATGTTTGCAAGTCACTTTAAATCTGGATAGGTTACATATTTGGGGGTGTGGAGCAGATATCAAGGGGGGGGGGGGTAGGGTGGCAATAAATAAAGAAACAAATTTTGCTCTACTGCTAAGGAATAAAGACAAAGGAAAATTCACCTTTTGATGTTGTTTAAGAATGGTGAGGGAGAAGAAATTAACATCATAAGGGGTTGACAAAAAACAATTTGGTACTGAAAAAAGTTGAAAGTCTTGGCCGTGGAATAGACATTTTCCTGAAACTTTCAAATAATTATTAATAATATTTACTTTTTTACATTCATTAAGTAATACAAAAACACAGTTACTCATTGGTTTGATCACTTGCCTGCCTTGCTCAAGCATAAAACTGTATGCTTTCAATGTTGAAGCATCAGACAGAGGCATGGCGTGAAAGTAATTGACAAAAACAAAAAAATAATTTCAAGTCTTCACCAGTGCAGAGTAAGGAGTCTGAAATCATAAAATAATATTCAAATTCAGTCAAATACAGAAGACACATCTTTTGCAAGCATCAAATGTTATGGAAAGAAATTGATCAAGAAAATGTATTCCACAGCAGATTCAACCTTTTTTAATGTTCAATAAAGCAAAAAAACATATGACAAACTTTACAAATTATTAATCAGAGGTAACTGAAATATGTCAGTCTTTCAGTTAAATACTTTTATAATCTCAACTCATAGCTATACAGGTTAATTTCAAACATTCATAGTAATTCAAACATCTATGTAACACTTTTAAACAATGGGGTACAAGAACTGATATTTTTATAATCAAAATTTCAATCCCTAATATACAAATTTGATTCTGGTAAATTTTGCTTACAAACAATTTTAATCCTTCATATTCAATTCTGCATTCAGTAAAATATGAACTTCTACAAGTGAAATATAATAATAGTATAATACTGTGTTTAAATGCCAAAACCAATTCCTTTTAACACATTTCATTCACCCATGCAAATGAAAAAAGAAGAGAATCAAAGAGACAATGTCACCTCTTGGTTATGTACCACCAGCTGGATAGCCCACAGAAAAGGAATAACAACACACATAAAATAACTACAAAGAGCAATAAAAGCTTTCAAATTTGGCCAAAAAATACTGATGTGGTTTCACCAATTTGTAAGTGACACCATGATGGTCCCCCCAGCGCTGATGCTGGTGGTACAATAAATATACCACTGAGTTGCTATAGTACCTGACAACACCGAGGGTCCTTGGAAAGAATCCTGCCCTTGTATCTGCCACATTACCATACATTACAGGAGTGCTCTGACAAAACAACAGGACAGAGAGAACAAAAGCCTAAATAAAGAAAAACAGAACAAAGATTACCGAAGATTACATCTAAATTTTTATTCATGCTTCATACTGAAAAAAAAAAGAAATTCCTGAAAATAGCTTCCCATGGTCTTGATTAATCCCAATATTCACGGTCACCTACTGAAATTTCTTTGTAAAGAAAAATACATCAAAAATAGAAAAAAAAAGGTGTGATAGTGTCAAAACAAACCATGCAAGGAAAAGGAGACATTTAGTACAGGTTCTGTTAAGCATAAATGGATCATATAAAAGCTGGACAGAATATAAAAAATAAACAATAAAATATCTGGCATTGAGACAAAATTGACTAATTCAATTCAAAAACTTAATTTTACACTTTCTCTCATTTGTGGACAAAAAACTATAAATTTCAAATCCTTTTTAATTTATCCATTAATGCCTTTTCTTTAATAATAAACTTTAGAATGCAACAATGTGGATGATGTGACCTTTGACCTTTGACCTGTTACCTTGCCAGATGTTCATCTTTACCTGAGAATTGTGTCATGCTTAGTGTTGAAGCCAGCATAGACATTACTAAACACAGGCACCATTGCTAATGAAGACAATGAGCTGCAAGCTGCAACTGGAATAAAGATAAACTATTGCATGCCCATTTCAGGCCTACTCAACTACCAGACTCGGCACCGAATGATCCTGAATTCACCGGTATATCAGACCATACTACCCGTTTTCAAGGTGTGAGTCAGTACGCATTTCACAGTATCATACCCAAACAAATTTTGAGTGGTGATGCAATACTTTTCAACCCTGCTGAGTATCGTCACTTTCAAGAGCGGTGTCGTGTCTGATACTGTGAAATGCGTACTGATAAACACCTTGAAAACGGGTAGTGTGGTCTGATCTACCAGTGAATTCAGGATCATTCGGTGCCGAGTCTGGTAGTTGGGTAGGCCTGCATTTAACAAAAGAACATTCAACAGAACACCTGCCACTTATGCACTCAACAGAACACCTGCTACTTATGTTATATGCTCTGTCTTTTAAGACATTAAAATATTTCTTTCATTTCTTTTTGAGGCTAAAATGTGATTGCTGTACATGTGCTTAATGTAATCAAATATGATTTTTTTTCCTTTCAAATTTAATATAAATCATAGGGATCGATTAAACACAGAACAATTTAACCAAGGAGTTTCTACATCTTGTGTTTATTGAAATTCCTTGGTTTTATTTTTGTACACGTCAGGTGGCAGAACAAGAGTTTCCTCGTAAAAAGGTTTACACTATATTATAAGGTATGAAATCTGTTTAAAAATAATAAATCAACAATTTTTTTCTTGCACTGTAGTACACTAGTGTGGCAGTATATACATTAAATTTAGGAGGTTCATTGACAAGTCATGATGACAGCTGAGAGAGCGTGTTTTACTTCAGGAGGTGAGAGATATTACTGGTTGAAGGAAAAGATGTGAAAGCCCTCCCACTGTGGTGGACGCACTCTCTAACAGTCATTATACAGTAAAACTTCATGCTTAAGCACATACAGTATATATCATAAACAATAAATGGAAGCACTTACTTATGAAACTTAGGGCTAATTACACTTACTGTACCAGTAAACTGAGCACCCATAAGACTGACGAGCCACGAAGTATATTAAAGCGAGCTTTTAAAAACAAATAATGTGTAATAATTACATATCCTCTTTTGAAAATGGCGAAACTTCATATCGTGGCTTAACTTAAAGAAGACCGAAGCAGATGTTTAGTCTGGTTCAAGGTCAGAGAATGAACAAATAATACCCATCGCCGGGAATGAATTACCCGTAAATCGTAACGTCTAAACAATGAATAACAACAAAAAGCTAGGTATTTTACGTTTAACACATCAAAAGTCCTTTTAAGTTCTTGTCGTCATTAAGAATCAAATCAAAGATAACATACCTTCTTTATAATCGACTGCTTCTACCTACCTCTATAAAAATACACTATAAATATAGCATTTCTTTGTGATGCTCGGCTCGTGTTCCAATATTGCGGTAGCTTATTCACTCGGAACTACTCGGATGTCTCCGCACTCGACAATAAGTATGGAGCTTGCGGAATGAGCCGAGGATTGCCGATTGGTGCTTATTGCGGTCGGTAATGCAATCCGCAATTTTGAAATGACATAAAGTATACAAGCTGCAATTATAGACCAAACAGTTATGACATATAGATCAAAATATTAAAAAAATTGTTGTGTATTTATTTTAGTTGCAGCAGTACTTAAATCACAAATTTTTATGTGAAATCAGTAAAGAGCGATGTCCATCCCTACAGCGCGCATTATCTTAACGAGGTCACAGAGGCGAACGAGTTGTCACCACTCCAGTAAATTGCTCAACGTTATGTAAATGTAGAATCTGTGAAAATGACAAGCAGCGATCAGGAGGCCCAGGAAAATGAACTGTTAGCTCTAGCCAGTATATATGACAGTGATGATATATTTAAGGCTTCCGAAACGGGAAGTGAACCCGGAGGCCAATTTATGGCTTGCTTGGATCTGCCACCTTCATTCTGCGTCAAGTTTGGAATTTGGAAAAGTACAGTACACATTTATTTACACATTATTTAGTCTCAGTCTTGAAGCTGTAATAGTCGGTGGCTTTTCCTTGTCATGCGTTTTCTGCATAAGTGAACCACTGAAAATCATAGCCAAATATTCTGTATTACTAATACACGTACATACGCATTTATTTCATTTTATTAAATTATAAATAGCGTAATATACCTGTTTATCGTACGTGATTACACGGCTTATCACAGGGTGTTGTATTATTGTATAGACGCAGAATGCATTTCTATGTGACATTGCACTCTAGTAGGTAGAACAGACACGTGTGATTTTTAATGTAATTTTGTGTTTGATTTTAGACAACCATGAAGAGCACCAGCTACAATTTCTTCCACCAATTGTGCTTAACTTTCAACTGGTACCTGACTACCCTTCAAAGAACCCCCCAAATTTTACTCTGTCCTGCAAGTGGCTGTCAAAGGAGCAGGTATGCAGTATTGCTAGATCTCCTGCACAAATTGTCAGGCTGGTCAGCTGATTTCATGGAACATGAATACATGATACTAGTATCAGGGGCAGTTTGAGGCCGTGTTCTGGGTCTTTCGGAGAGATGGTCAGATTTTCAAGTTTACATTGACGGGTATATAACTTTTTTGTTGGAAGACGGTCAAAAATTTAAGATGGATCAACAAAGATAATTTGGAAGACTGTCAGAAAATATCTCTGGATCCGCCCCTGAGTTTATTGAGCTTGAGTATAATTTGCTTTTATCATTTTTAATACTTTGATTGTGTACTGCCTGTTACTTTTTTGCAGCTGACAAGACTATGTAAAAAGCTGGATGAAATTTGGTTAGAGAATGAAAATCAGGAAATTCTGTTTTTGTGGATGAGTTTCCTGAAAGATGACGCAATGGAATATCTTCAAATCCAAAGTCCTCTGGACCTGTCAAACATCTTATCGAAGAAAGCAAGAAAGTCGTCTTCCATGAAAACAGAAAAAGGCAATTTCACGACATATGATAAAGGACAGGGTAAAAAAATCATGGACTCAAACTATGACTCAAGAGCTGTGCAAGACATTGCTTCACAAGAGCTCCTTTTACCAGCTTTGTTAGAGTACAACAAGGCGGAAAAAGAGGCTGCATTTAAAAGGACTTTGTACGCGTGCAATGTCTGTTTCCTGGAAAAGCTTGGGACATTGTGCATGCAATTTTTAGATTGCGACCATGTGTACTGCAAGGAATGCATGAAGGATTACTTCACAGTCCAAATCACTGATGGAAACGTCAAGGCATTGACTTGCCCACATGACAAGTGTCAATCACAGGCACACCCTTCCCAGGTAAGGTTTTATTTGTATGAAGAAAAAAAAAAGTAAAACTAGAACATGATTTTTTAAAGCATGCTCTGCTGTCAATAGATACATAAATGTTAACACTATCCCTGCTGTTTAATGTCTTCAAATTATTAATTTTTTAAAAATGTTAAATGATAAGGTATTTAGTACTGATGTTTTCTAAGATTTTTAGGCCTTATTTAAAAATTATCTAAATTATTTAAGTTCAGTTCAAGTACAATCTTTCATAATTGATTTAAAAGTACTTTTTTGTACAAAATACCATGGATAAAGAAATATATATTTGTATATTGTTGTTTGATTGGATTTAAAACTCCCAATGGATTATGATAACTTGTATATATTTAGATATCTATATTATGATGAACTAATGATGTTCTTGATTTAATGTCAAGGTAAAAGAATTAGTTGGAGCTGACCTGTACGCAAGATATGATCGCCTGTTACTGCACACCACCCTGGAGACAATGGCGGACATTGCCTACTGTCCCCGCCCCATTTGTCAGACCCCTGTATTACTGGAGAAGGAAACAACATATGGGTGCTGCTCTGAGTGTAGTTATGTGTTTTGTACTATCTGTAAGCTGACTTATCATGGGGTGTCCCCTTGCAGGATAAGACCAGGCAAGTTTTTTTTTTTTTTTGGTGAAAAAGGTTTTTCAACTACTGGGTGTAATGATAAGGCATGTTACTGGTACCTAATGAGGAGGGGTCAAAACACCCTGCCTCTTGGGTAGAAAATATGTCTAGTCTTTTTACCAATGATTTCGTTTTTTTATTGTCAGTGATCAACTTTGCTTTTTATGTACAGACACAGATGTGTCTGTACATATTGCCATCACCTGCGTCTGTCGTCGCCGTCGTCGCCGTCG